GAGCTATGTGAGAGGTGCACCGTGGTTAATACGCCTGGGCAGAGCTATGTGAAAGGTGCAGCCGTGGTTAATACGCCTGGGCAGAGCTATGTGAGAGGTGCAGCCGTGGTTAATACGCCTGGGCAGAGCTATGTGAGAGGTGCAGCCGTGGTTAATACGCCTGGGCAGAGCTATGTGAGAGGTGCAGCCGTGGTTAATACACCTGGGCAGAGCTATGTGAGAGGTGCAGCCGTGGTTAATACGCCTGGGCAGAGCTATGTGAGAGGTGCAGCCGTGGTTAATATGCCTGGGCAGAGCTATATGAGAGGTGCAGCCGTGGTTAACACGCCTGGGCAGATCTATGTGAGAGGTGCAGCCGTGGGTATCACACGCTGACACAAGCAATGAACCAGCAGGGGTGAGGGTATGCTGCCGGGGTAACATCACAGCTAGCAATCATCTCCCTGGTTCTCTGAACCTCCCCACTTACAAACCACCGTGCAGTCGCGTATATAACACGCCCCACCCCGAGATTCAGTCACTGCAGTTCATTTACATGAAGAGAGGAGCAGTATCAGTGAAGGGAAGCGATAGGCTTGGCGTCCCGGGGCTAACAAGAGGTTCAAACCGTCACACAACAATCCCCTGACGGATTCAGGGTAGCATGCAACAATGCTCACCCTCAGGCAGTAGCCCTCAGCTTTCTGACGACCCCGAAGCGATTCCCGTTGATCTCAGCGGGAGGAGCTCTGGAGACCTTAGGAAACCCTGGCAGCCCTTGGAGAACCCTGGCAGCCCTTCCTTACCCCCACAGCCTCAAAACCCAGAAATCGCAGCGAGGTGAGCTTCTCTCTCCGGGCAGACCTGCAAGGCCTGTTGTGCCCCTCCGGCCAGCCGGTATTGTACTCGCTTCTCCCATTGTTTCGTATTGTTGTTGTGTCGAACAGGGAGCTATGGGGGGATCTGGAGACACAAGACACACCACGAGGCCGACAACCCTCGCATACGGCTGAAAATCCCGCCTTTCACAGCGGGATTTTAGCCTCAAAAAAGTGAAAGGAACAGCACCGGTGATAGAGGCTGGAAAGATTCGAGTTATTAGAGCTTCAGTTGCCAAATTATTATTATATATATATATATATATATATATTATATATATTATATATATATATATATATATATATATATATATATATATATATATATATATATATATATATATATATATATTATATATATATATATATATATATATATATATATATATATATATATATATATATATATATATATATAATATATATATATATATACATATATAATATATATATATATATATATATATACATATATATATATATATACATATATATATATATACATATATATATATATATATATATATATATATATATATATATATATATATATATATATATATATATATATATATATATATATACGTATATAGATAGATAGATAGATATATGTGTGTGTATCGTGCCTAATAGGTAAAATTGGTCAATTAGCAAGAACTCATTTAAAATTAAGTCAATCTAATATTTTCTCTTATACGTTTAAAGATATATTTTTTCACTTATGTTAATGTAAAAATTAATAATTTTGTGCCAAAAGAACCTTAGAAAACTTACCTAACCTTGTTATAACAAGCGCAATTTAATTTAGCCTAATCCAGCTAAATATATTTTAGATAAGTTTACAATAATTTAATAATAAACAAACACTATGAAATATATTTTCCTCGTTAGGTTCAGAATGATTTGTGCATACACAAATTTTCGCTTGCCTTATTCAGCAAGAAGAACGTTGTTATTTAAGCCAAAATAGTAAGTTTTACCTATTCGGCACGAAATATATATATATATATATATATATATATATATATATATATATATATATATATATATATATATATATATATATATATATATATATATATATATATATATATATATATATATATATATATATATATATAATATATATATATATATATGTCGTGCCGAATAGGCAGAACTTGCCATCTTGGCTTAAATAGCAAAGCTCATCTTGCCATATAGGACAAGTGAAAATTTGTGTATGCAATAATTTCGCCAAAATCATTCTGAACCTAACGAAAAAAATATATTTCACTGTGTTTGTTTAGTATTAAATTACTGTAAACAAATCTAAAATATATTTAGTTGGGTTAGGCTAAAATAAATTGTTTTTATTATAATAAGGTTAGGTAAGTTTTCTAAAATTCTTTTGGTGCAAAATTAAAATTTTTTTACATTAACATTAATGAAAAAAATATATCTTTAAACGTATAAGAGAAAATTTTAGAAAGGACTTAATTTTAAATGAGTTCTTGCTAATGGACCAGTTTTACATATTCGGCACGACATATATATATATATATATATATATATATATATATATATATATATATATATATATATAAAATATATATATATATAACTCGGTTGGTGGTGCACTCAGCTCACACACTGAGGTCCGT